CCCCGGCTGAAGCCTGAAATGGTACAGTCCCCCCCCAAAAAAAGCTTTTACCACTTGGTTCCGCTGACTGTCTCCAATCAGTCCTAAGATCGCGATATATCAACGAAATAAACATGACACATAGATGGATCGGGGGAGGCAACTGCCTTCAAGCCGGCATGCTTTGCGCCCCCAAAGTTCCCTCTAAGCTGTGGAGTCTTGTGAGCAAAAATTCTAATTTGTGAGCTACCAGCATGAAAGCTGTGAGCAAACAATTTGGCTGCTGCATCAATTAGTTTGCTCTGGAGCCCCCTCCTTCCTGAGCTAAGGCAAAAAGGTGTGAGCTGGAGGCTAAAAAACCGAGAGCTAGCTCACACTCACTCAGCTTAGAGGGAAAACTGGTCACGGTGTCCCTCCTCCTCCGTGCTGTTTCCTGGGAGCTTCTTACCTTCCACAGATCCTCCCGGCGATAAGAAACCTTGCCGTAGCACCCAGCTTTCCAGGCACGGTAGCTGGACAGCCGCAGCAGCCACGGATTGAGCTCGTAACCGACGCTGGGCCTGAAGCCTTGTCTGTAGGCCTCCAGGACCTGGAAGCACAGTCAGAGCATGTTGGGTATTACAAGTTGAAAACACTCAGTATATCTGGGGTTAAATGTTTGTTTATGTTACTCACAGGAAGTCACATGTTTCTCATGTAACCAATGTTCTTTAGCTGTAGGACTGCCCGGGGAATTTTCTCCCTGATCTAGGGATTTGATTGGGACTAAAGTGTCAAGGTGTATTACCATTTTATGGCTCTCTTCCCGTCTTTGTTTGGTGTTCTTAAGGAGAAGAAGAGCAGCCATTCTCCTCTTCTAGTTTTGTCTTTGTAGTGTAACAATGTAGCCTATTTAGCTCTGTTGTTATTTTCATCCCAGTTACCCTTCCCCATGCTAGAATTTAGTAAAAACGTTATATTTTAATCACACATGGACTCTCAGTCTGAATTATTTTACTCTGGCTCTGCTGGGCTATCTTATCTCTGCTAAATACCATTTTTTTCAATATCTCACTATCACCCAACAGAGCATCATGCTGCGAGGCAGGCCCGTAGCTACGGTGGGGCTTTGGGGCCCCCCACCCCCATTCTTAAAGGCACAGCTCCACAAGAAGTTCTCCTGCAAATGCTTTTTTTCAAGGATTTAAAACATTTTTAAAGGTGTGAGCAAGGCACAGCCCCACAAGAAGTTCTCCTGCAAATGCTTTCTTCAAGGATTTAAAACATTTTCAAAGGCGTGAACACCTTTGAGCAGAGTAGGGTGCTGTCGTTGACCGATTCCCGCCCTGAGCAAGGGGGTTGGAGTAGGTGACCTCTAGGGTCCCTTCTAACTCTGTGCCAAGAAGCTGGTCTCCTTGAAGAGAGTCTTCCTGCCCGAGTGTTAAGCTTTCTTGACTACAGAAGTCCTCACCCCCACCTGCCGGTTTGTGATCAGATTTTTTGCTTAGGCTGGCAGGAGCGATCAACTTGCAGCAGCTGAGAACTGGTGGTTGATAGCTTGCAATTTAGAGATCTATCCAGGTCACAGCTTTCTGTTGGCTGAGTGGCTTTCCTCTCTGCACTTTCAGCCCCACCGGGGAAAAGTTTGCCCCACGAGCCACAGAATCCTGGCTACGGGCCAGCCCACGGTGATAGGGGCGGCAGGACCCATGAGAGAGAGGCCAGCTCTTTCCAAAGGAGCAACCAGGCCCAGCATTAGCACCAGTGTTGCTATTTCCCAGGGAAGTCCTCAAGACCCGGGCAGGAGGGATGCTGTCTCTGAATGAAGCCTGTCTGTGAGAGCCCCCCCCCCCGCCAATGCCATCCACTCCCTCCTCCTCCACTGGCACTACCCTAAGATCCACGGCCCCTCGTTCCCAGACAGTACAAGACGTTGTGCATGGAAGGAAAGGACGCTGGGTGCTCTGGCTCCAGCAATGGTGAAGAAGTGCGGCAAGGGAACAAGGTTTTCTTAAAATATACTATTAAACTCTTGAGGGTTGCTTTTCACAGTACCCAGGAGACCGATGCCGATTCCGGTAGATTCCCGGGCAAGCTAGGAGGGTCGCCCTTGGCACCCCTGACAGGGAGGCAGGTGGACACTGCAGAAACACTGGAAGCCACTGCAAGCCTGCCAAGGTTTCAGCATAGCTCTCGCAGAAGCAGGACCCTTGTACCTAGGCTGAAGCACTTCAGACTGCGGGGGCTGTCAAGTTGCAGAGGTGGTTGGTTGCCCATGGAACTTCCTCTGCAGAGTCTTCCTTGGAGGTCTCCTTTCCAAGTACTGACTCTGCTTAGCTTACAACTTAAGGCGATCCCAGCAAGGGACTTTCAAGGCAAGCGAGAAGCAGAGGTGGTGGGCCATTGCCTTCCTCTGTCGAGTCTTTCTCGGTGGTCTTCCATCCAAGACTTATGGTGACCCCAGCAAGGGGCTTCCAAGGCAAGGGAGAAGCAGAGGTGGTTGGCCATTGCCTTCCTCTGCAGAGTCTTCCTTGGTGGTCTCCCATCCAAGACTTATGGCGACCCCTGCAAAGGGGCTTCCAAGGCAAGCGAGAAGCAGAGGTGGTTGGCCACTGCCTACCTCTGTCGAGTCTTCCTCGGTGGTCTCCCTTCCAAGTACTGACCCTACTTAGTTTCTGAGATCTGATGAGCTCAGGCTATACCATACCACCTTATCTCCCCATATGACAGAACGCATCCCCATTAAAAAAATTATCATCCACATAGAAAACTAGCATTTCATGGAGGAGACATCTGGAACGCTTCTCCCAGACCTGTAGCAAGCCTCCCAAAAGATCATGTTCAAGAATCCCCCCCCCCTTTCTTACAATTCTGCCATCTCCTGACCCTAAATCCACCAGCTTTCCAGAGCGGCCTTCCAGGAGCAACATCACATTCTCCAGTTGTTTGGCACTTGCTGGGACATATGGCACCTAGTTTGGAGGAAAGAGAGAGAGAAAGGCAAGAACTGAGTTGGAAGGCGTCCTGGTTGGGGAATTCTTGGAGACTTGGGGGTGGAGCCTGGGGATTTTGGAGTTTGGGCACTCGGTCACTAAAAGGTTCTCCATCACTGGGCTATACCATACCACCTTATCTCCCTATATGACAGAACGCATTCCCCATTTAAAAAATTATCCTCCACATAGAAAACTAGCATTTCATGGAGGAGACATCTGGAACCCTTCTCCCGGACCTGTAGCAAGCCTCCCAAAAGATCATGTTCAAGAATCCCCCCCCCCTTTCTTACAATTCTGCCATCTCCTGACCCTAAATCCACCAGCTTTCCAGAGCGGCCTTCCAGGAGCAACATCACATTCTCCAGTTGTTTGGCACTTGCTGGGACATATGGCACCTAGTTTGGAGGAAAGAGAGAGAGAAAGGCAAGAACTGAGTTGGAAGGCGTCCTGGTTGGGGAATTCTTGGAGACTTGGGGGTGGAGCCTGGGGAGTTTGGGAAGGGATATAATGCCACAGAGCCCACCCTCCGAAATCATTTCCTCCAGGGGAACTGACGTCTCTAGTCTAGAGATCAGTTATAATTCTAGAACATAAGAGAACATAAGAGACGCCAATGTGGGATCAGGCCAAAGGCCCCTCCAGTCCAACACTCTGTGTCACACAGTGGCCAGAAATACCAGGTGCCATCAGGAGGTCCACCAGTGGGGCCAGGACACTAGAAGCAACAAGAAGACAGAGCATCCCTTGCCCCAGAGTCCCTATCTATACCTTGTGGCTAATAGCCACTGATGGAAGACCTCCAGGCCCCACCTGGAGGCTGGCAACTCTAGGTCCCGGGTACAGCACATACTTTGCATATGGATAGGCCAGTCTACAGAAATTCCTTCCCAACTGCAAAGTATTTCCCACCTACCCTTTAAAAAGTCCTACCAAATCGCCTGTTGCTTTACTTGTAGTGGGGCTTGTTCGTTTTTTGTATTGTGTGCATGTGTTTGCCTGGAAGTCATGGTCTTCTGATGAATCGCTTTTCTAAACACCAAGGCGCACGGAACGCTGTTACCTTCCCACTGAAGTGGTACCTATTTATCTACTTGCAATTTCTTGCTTTCGAACTGCTAGGTTGGCAGGAGCTGGAACTAGAGACGGGAGCTCACTCTGTCATGCGGCACACTCGGGTCTCGAACTGCTGAACTACCGACCTTCCACAGCCTGCAGTTCAGCATCTTAACCACTTGAGCCACCCTTTAAAAAGTCTTACCAAATCGCCTGTGGCTTTACTTGTAGTGGGGTTTGTTTGTTTTTTGTATTGTGTGCATGTGTTTGCCTGGAAGTCATGGTCTTCTGATGAATCGCTTTAACACATTTTAATGCTGTTTTCATCTTCTTATATATCGTATTGTTTCTGATGTAAGCTGCCCTGGGCCCTGACTCAGAAAAGGGGGGACCTAGCAAATTTAAACAAACAAGCAAATAAATCAATGTTTGATTTCTGGCAACCCCTAGTGGGGCTTGGGCATTTCCAGGAGGTGGCTTACTCTTGCCTGCGCCTAGCCCGGGATTTCCTTGGAGGTCTCCCTTCCTTGCCAGCTTTACCTGTAGTTTTAAAGGCACTCTGCGGAACCCGGGCATGAGGATCCCCGCCCACACGACGTAGGCGGCCAAACCAGTGCCTGTCGCAATCTGCAAAAGGTCCCAGCCGCTGACAGTCTTTCCACGCACCTCAGCCGCCAGCTGTTCCGTATCCTCCGGATCCATGTCTGCAAAAGCAAAAAAGGGATTTGCAAATCAAATGCTGCCCGCGCATTCCGAGTGACAGCACTGGGGCCCGTCCAACCTCACCGCTCGTCTCGGAGGGCGGCTTAATTAACTGGGAAGGGCTGTCAAACGCTCGCCGTTTCCTAGCAAAGTCACATCTTGAGTGGCGTAGGCGCTCTTCTTGTTCTGCTCTGAAGACTTAGCAGACCGTCCAGGGGAAGAAGAGTTATCGGAAGGCACTGTCGAAAACCCTCTCCAAAAGCACACCAAAGTCAGAGATTGCTACAAGCTCAGAACTAAGAAAAAGTTCTGCAGACCAATTATTTAGGAACGCAACTCCTTATAGCTTAGGTTTAATGTAGTGGATGAGCATAGAATCATAGAGTTGGAAGGGGCCATACAGGCCATAAGAGATTATGTTGGATCAGGCCAAAGGCCCCTCCAGTCCAACACTCTGTATCGCACAGTGGCCAGAAATACCAGGTGCCATCAGAAGGTCCACCAGTGGGGCCAGGACATTAGAAGCCCTCCCACTGTTGACCCCCCCAAGCACCAAGAAGACAGAGCATCACTTGCCCCAGAGCCCCTATCTATACCTTGTGGCTAATAGCGACTGATGGACCTCTGCTCCATATGCTTATCTAATTCCCTTTTGAAGCCGTCCATGCTTGTAACCGCCACCACTTCCTGTGGCAGTGAATTCCATGTGTTAATCACTCTTTGGGTGAAGAAGTACTTCCTTTTATCCGTTCTAACCCGAACGCTCTGCAGTTTCATGGAGTGCCCACGAGTTCTTGTATTGTGAGAAAGGGAGAAAAGTACCTCTTTCTTTACCTGCTCTTTCCCATGCATAATCTTATAAACCTCGATCATGTCACCCCTCAGTCGTCTTTTCTCCAAGCTAAAGAGCCCTAAGTGCTTTAACCTTTCCTCATAGGGAAAGTGTTCCAACCCTTTTATCATTCGAGTTGCCCTTTTCTGCACTTTTTCCAAAGCTATAATATCCTTTTTAAGGTGTGGTGCCCAGAACTGCACACAGTATTCCAAATGAGGTCTCACCATTGATTTATATAGGGGCATTATTATATTGGCTGATCTGTTTTCAATACCCTTCCTAATAATCCCCAGCATAGCATTGGCCTTCTTTATTGCAGTCACACACTGTCTTGACATTTTCAGTGAGTTATCTACTACAACTTCAAGATCTCTCTCTTGATCAGTCTCTGCCAGTTCAGACCCCATCAATGTGTATTTATTTTTTTATCTAGTCCAACCCCCTGGTCAATGCAGGATCACCCTAGGCCAGGCATGTCCAACTTCGAACAGGTAGTAGTGATCTATTTCCTTTTCAGAGCCATACCAATGGAAATACCAAACTCAAAATTAAAAGAATGGCAGAATACATTAAATAACTTCCTGTGGGCACACAAAAAAAGCACAGAAGCAGGGCACAAATACTATACAGATCAGACAAGAGGGGAGGACTTGAAATTCCCAAATTTACAAAACTATTACTATACCACCCACCTTGCCAAAATAATAACTATGCTTAAAAAAGAAAATCTTCCAAACTGGATAAACATACTATCGGTTAAGGCAGAACCACATACGCTAAGAGATACAGTGTGGCAGCAGTCTAACTTTAGACCCAAAGAAACGAAGCAAAACGAATTTCAAAATCCTGTTCAGGTTCTGAAGGCCACCCAGAAAAGAGGAGCCAAAATTATCCTCTGACTACCACCCAAAGGGTTCTTCCAGTTCCTTTCTATGCTCTTGGAATCTGAAAGGATGGGTGAGTGGGCCTCCAGTGTCAGGAAATATGAACAGCAGGCAGGGTTGTTGTTGTTTTTTAAATCAACGTTCAGAATTGTATAGTGGGATGTGATTTTAATTCACATGCACAGCAGGTGCCTCCACCACACACCTTTTGCGTTCTCCGCATGCACCTGCCTTGTCGCTTAAGAGTCACGTTCTGTGACATTTCTAAGCCGACAGAGCGCCGGAGAATAAGAATCTGACAGCCCTCCTAGCAGTGCAGAGTGCTTGTCATTTTGAAATGTTCTTTCAGAATGGAACTTTCCACCTCTGGAACTGCACATTTTGTGTCTACTGGCACATGGAGGGGGGGGAGAGAAACCTGGCCACCGTCATCCTGCTGAGGTGGGGGTCTCAGACAGCAACAGCAATGCAAACCTCTGGGACTACCCCTACAAATGCCAGCAAAAGTACTAGCCATCAGTAGACCCCTGGCTGGAGACATCTGGCTCTCTTCAACCTGGTGGAACTCTCTGCCAAATAACATCCTGCGCCCTGCAGGACCTGGTTCAGTTCCGCCAGGCTTGCGCTACAGAGATGTTCTGCCAGGCTTCCGGTTGAGGACAGCAATGGGTTTTTAATCAACGGTCTTAATCAGTCTAGCCTCTTTTTGTATTTAAACGTCCCCCCCCCCCTGAGCCCCAAGTATCGGGGGAAGGTGGTCTAAAAATTGGATTTGTAAATAAATAAACAGGATTGCGCACATCCCGGTAATTACCCTATGCAATACCTTCAGTGTCAGCACATGGATTTCAATTGGGTTGGATTAGGGTTAGCAACGGGTTTTTAATCAACCGTCTTAAACAGTCTAGCCTCTTTTTTCCATCCACTCCCCCCTTGGAGTAAGAATAATTGGTTTCTAGGAGCCTTTTGGAATTATCATTGTATTGTTTTAATGCCCTTAACGATTTAAATTGTATTTAAACGTCGTACACCCCCTCCTGAGCCCCAAGAATCGGGTGAAGGTGGTCTCAAAACTGGATTTATAAATAAACAAACAGGATTGCACACATCCTGGTAATTACCCTATGCAATAACTTCAGTGTCAGCACAGCTCAGACAAAAACGAGTGAGCTGGAGGCTAAAAAACCGTGAGCCGGCTCGCATTGATTCAGCTTTGAGGGCACACTGGCCGGAGACCACTGTTCCCGCTAAGCTATGGAGTCTTGTGAGCAAAAACTCTACTTTGTGAGCTCCTGGCATTAAAACTGTGAGCGAGCCATTTGGCTGCTGCATCAATTAGTTTTAGGGTTGCCAGCCTCCAGGTGGGGCCTGGGGATCTCCCGCTTTTACAACTGATCTCCAGCCGACACAGATCAGCTCCCCTGGAGAAAATGGCTGCTTTGGAGGGTGGACTCAGTGGCATTGTACTGTGCTGAGGCCCCTCCCCTCCCCAAACCCCGCCCTCTCCTGGCTCCACCCCCAAAGTCTCCAGGTATTTTCCAATCCAGACTTGGCAACCCTGATTAGTTTGCTCTGGAGCCCTCCTTCCTGAGCGAGGACAAAAATGGGTGAGCTGGAGGCTAAAAAACTGTGAGCCGGATCACGCTGACTCAGCTTAGAGGGAACCCTGGCTGGTGGAGACCAGCTGTAATCCCGGACAATAATCTCCAGGCTCCACCTCTCCTGGAGGTTGGCAACCCCTTCCAGGTCAACATTCAAAAGGGACTCTGCGGGCGCCGTCGCTTATTTATATCTCGGGGCACACGAATCAGCCGCTGCTCCCGCCTGCGGGGCAACAAAGGAAACACACACGTGCAAACCCGCCGCCCTTTACCTGCCCCGGAAGCTCCGTCCGCTTCCCTGCTCCGGCGGTCCCACCTTTATTTAGCTCCGTGTTGAAACTGGTCCTCCGCTCCTAGAGTGCCGTCGCGCAGAACGGCGCTGCGCAGGCGCGAAGGGCAAGGCTTTGAGTGACACCCCGTCTGGAGGAGCGAGGGAAGAGCTCCCTGGGCTCTGTTCGGGGCTTAAGCAACTCTATGGTCTTAGGCAGGGGTCATTAAAAAGAGGTGCAGGGGCTCATTAGCATAACTCATTTGCATTACCTATTTGCATAGGCCACACACCCCTGACCATCACCCTATGTGTGTCAGAAGGCAACACCCACCGCTCAGGCTCCACTAGACTGTTTTGCATTGCTAGCTATGGGGTAGCATTGCTAGCCTCAGCATGGTCCAGTGCCATAGATCATAAAGCAGCCATTTCCTCCAAGGGAGCTGATCTCTGTAAAAGTGGGAGATCTCCAGACTCTGCTATTTCTGGGCAGGAACGCACAGGAACGGAGTTCCGGCTGGCTACTGAGTTGGCCACGCCCAGCAGGAACTCATTAGCATAATAGGCCACACCCAAGAGCAGGAACTCATTAGGATTGGCTACATGAGGGGTGTGTGGCCTAACATGCAAAGGAGTCCCAGCTCCAAAAAAAG